AAACCAGCATTATATTTTTAAATTATTTTTACATTTTATTTCGAAAACCGGAAGTGGGGTGGGACATCCGCTGGAGGGGGCGGGACTTCCGGTGGAAGGGGGCGGGGCTTATATGTGTGACCTGTCACTTTTCTATGCATACTAATGAGACGAAAGTGGCATGTGTATAACTACTCTGGTGGTATCATTTCATCAACAGTTTTGAGTCTTACCAGCTAGCTAACACGAGAGAAAAACGTAGCTAAACTCCAAACTAAGTTGTTATTGCTGCTTATGTCCATAGATTGCACCTTTGGTGAGTAAAGTAATGAGTAATGACTAAGATTACTGACTCTTGACTTAACCCTAACCCTGAAATGTTATTTTTAGTATTTTTAAATATGAAGTCCCTCAGATCGCGTTGTCCACCTGGTTGCTTGGCCATTGTGATGACCTTTACCTGCGCTTCTGGCATCGATCAAACAGGCGCATCACGGCGCTCTGGCGCCCTCTAGGGCAATCGCATAGCATAGCGTCAGTGACTTGGTAAAAATGTCATTGCGTGTGTGCGTGCTCCCTCGCCCACAGTATTTTACTCAAAATGCACAAAATTAATGTTGAAATAGCAGTAATACCAGTGCCACGTTCATTGATACAATTACATAAGGGATGGAAAGGGGGAATAGCAGTTTTAGGAGGGGGATGATTTTGACCGTTTTTATTTCAGGGGGGATGCCATCCCCCCTCATCCCCCCTCAACTCGAGTACTGGTTATACTTAGCTTCAGCCTCTCGTGTCATATCTGCTTCCAAAAAAACGACTTGTCAATAGTCCAAATGCCAAACTCAAGGCTTATTCTGCAATCCACTGACTTCACAGTGATTATGTCCAATTCTTATCTAAAGTGTATTGTGCTTTTCCTTAAACACACATTGCCAAACAATCTCTCAATAAGATTTCCATCAAAATAAGACACACAAACTGTAGCTTTGACAGCTTTGTCACTCTGACATCTCTGACCTTTGACCCTCTTATCTTTTATGACTTGTTTATTGTTTTATTGTCCGCTCATAAAGGATGTTGCTCAATACTGGGGTGATAAGACTTTATTGCCCCTTTGATGTGAAACCTGTCATAGTGTCCTTAGTAGGTCATTATAGTCAACGATGAAACCATTATAGTCAATGATGATAGTATGACTTTTTTAGCTCTTTATTGTTGTATTGCCCTCCTCATAAAGGACGTTGCTCAATAGGGGGTGATAAGACTATTGCCCCTTTGATGTGACACCTGTTGTAGTATCCCCTAGTAAGCCATTATAGTCAATGATGATAGTATGACTTGTTTAGGTCACCTGTTGTGGTTGTAATGCCCTCTATAAGGTAATGTTCTTTAATAGTGGGTTAATATTACTTATTTACTCTTTTGTGGTAATATAAGGTTATATGACATAGTATGTCTTTTGAAGTTGTATAGTTGGGTAATAATACTTGGACCTTGTTTGTGTTAATATGGGGTTCAAAGGGTAATCTTTGCTAGTTTATTTAAAACAAATCATTTCCCTTCTCCCCCTTTTTTTTTTTTTCCTCCACCCATGCTGTCCCTCCCACCCTGCTGCACCTATGTCTGAGCCCTAAACCCTCATACACCTCCTCACACACCCCCCTCCCACCCTGCTGCACCTACGTCAGAGCCCTAAACCCTCACACACCCCCCTCCACCCTGCTGCACCTATGAACACCGAGGGGGGGGGCTTTGAGATTTTACCTGTGATTATGTCTCTGAAAGGTGTCCACAGTGTTGTTTTTATAAAAAATAAGTCATCTTTCCAGATAATCTAATTCCTTTCTCGCAGTAAGTATAAGAATAATTGACAGAGAGGCTGTAAATATCCTCGTACTAGCGAAAGCCCTTTACTTAAATGTAACAAATCACCCTATACTCTTAACAAACGTTTTTGAGATAACAGGGTCTCCACTATTAGACCTCAGGGTTGCTCACACACAAGACTAGTGCTTGTTTTAAGTTTAGCTTAGAAAATATATTACTTTACAATAGCATCTAAAGCAGGCAGTTATAGGGGCTAGAGGAAGTATTTTCTCTCTATAAAACTGATAAGATTATATTCTGTAGCTATGAAGTGTAAAGCGAAGGTTCCCCTTAAAAACTCCAGCAGACAAACAGAGGAAGAATCTATTTCGTGCAGACCTGAACATGACAGAGAACGATAAGGAGGGGGGTTCATTTCTTTACAAGTCCCAGTTTACCCCTTTACTCTTATCAATGTTTTTGAGATAACTATGAGGGGCTGTGTACGCCAAAATTCAAAATAACCTCGCGCACACACTACTGAAAACATCTGGCCTTGCACACACACACAACTGAAATACTCTCACATTCACTACTGAACACCTCACACACACACAAAACTGAAAGTTAAACCTCACACACATACTACTGAAAATTAACCTCACACACACACAAAACTGAAAGTTAAACCTCACACACATACTACTGCAAATGAACCTCACACACACACTATTGTAATCTTCTTACATTCACTACTGAACACCTCACACACACACACTACTGAACACATCTGGCCTTGCACACACACTACTTAAAACATCTGGCCTTGCACACACACTACTCAAATACTCTCACATTAGGCTTGTTTGAGAAACATTGCGGCTCGCCTCGAAAGTAGACGAGAGTAGCCGATCGCAGCCGGGGGAGGTGTCAAAAAGCTCGTCTTAAGTCGGACAGCTCGGAGTCAGAGTCGGCTTGACTGGCTGGGTTTGCAATGGCGGAAATTGCGTTGGCGTTTTTCGTTGCAGATGAAGTGGATGCAATAGAAATCCCACATGTATTGTATGGAGAATGGCATGATGAACACCGTCTGCGGAGGTAATTACGTATCTTTTTATTTTTTAATTTGATAGGGACAGAGCATGTTAATGAACATCAGTATAAAATACAAGAAGTATAAATGTGTTTGAGCAAACGTGCTAATTTACATCCGTAGTAGGCTACCTAGGCAGGTAACAAAAACAGATACACAATACAATACACAAGTAAAAAGACACAATATATTGTTGCATCAGTTTAAATTAAAAAGTATGATCGATTATCTGGACTGATTACTTTACTCTACAGATCACAAATTGTGCAAAATTATGACACTATTAGTCTTTTTTAGTCCAATGGGATAAGATAAAAGCTACTTTACTAAAGTTATAGAAAGCAAGCAAGATAGTAGTACAAAGATACAATAAATAAACAAGAATACAACTGAAATCAAGTGAAGATAATATAGGCCTACAGCAGCAGCAGCAGTTATATATATATAATATATATATAAAGAATGTTGAATAGGTCTAATGATTTATGGTCATCATTTGCTCCTGTGTCTGCCTTCCTTAGATCCGTTCCAAAGGTCCAACAATTTGTGGAAGAAGTGGTCCCACAGTACAGTCCTTCAGACTTCAAAAGTCATTTCCGATTGTCCAGGGGACATGTGGAAGTATGTGTGTGTGTATATATATATATATAAATAAATCAAATATGTATTATCTGGACTGGTGATATTAAAAGCCATTTATTCCTTTCTACCAAACAGGATGTGATGACGACTATTGGCCCGTTCTACTGGAACAGACAGCACAGTAAAGTGCCGCTTCAAAACAGTGTTCTTGCCTGTCTGTGGACTCTATCAAACCAGGAGTCCTATAGGGGGGTTGCTGATCGTTTCAATATCACCAAATCCACTGTCTGCCTGTATCTCCATGAATTCTGTAGTCTTGTCACCACATATTTGTCTCACCACATTTCCTGGCCCACAGGGCAAGCCCTACATAATTCTGAGTTAGGATTTCGTGCAGCAGGATTTCCCAACACTGTCTGTGCGGTAGATGGATGCCACATTCCTATTGTGAAACCACACTGTGAGAACCCAGTAGCATACATCAACAGAAAACAGTTTTATTCTGTTGTGCTTACTGGGTTCTGTGACAGTAAACGGAGATTCTGTCATGTTAATGTGGGCCACCCTGGTAGCTGGCATGATGCACGGGCATTCCGGTTGTCTGCTGTTGGAAGGCTGCTTGATGAAGATCCCCAGTCCCTGGTGCCTGAGGGAATGCACATCATTGGGGACTCTGCCTACCCACTATTGCCTCAGCTTATGAGGCCATACAGGGACAATGGCCATTTAACTGCTCGGCAGCGTCGTTTCAATCAAAAATTAAATGTTGCACGCGTGGTCATTGAGCATACCTTTGGCCTACTGAAAACGAAGTTCAGGAGGCTCAAATGTTTGTACATGAAAAACATTGCAAACATTAGCATAGCAGTCACTGCCTGTTGCATACTTCACAACATGTGCTTGGAGGAAGGGGAAGCAATTGAAGTTGATGAGCAGGTTGAAGCAGCAGATAACAGGGCACCGCATCCCCAGAACCAAGATGCAGTGTTGCACAGAAATCAGATTTGTGACCTTTTTTAAAGAGCTCACACACACACACCACCCCCCGCCCCCCCCCCCACACAAATAACCACTGTCATATTCTTTGTGGAAGACATTTGTTTTTTATTTCCTTTCCTTTTATGCCCACAGTATTGAGTATGTAAGTCGCTTTGGATTAAAGCGCCTAACAAGTAACATGTAATGTCATCCAAAATGATTGGGCAAGTAAAAAATAAATGCATATATATGAAAACTAGATTTGGTCATTTTCTGCACATGTCAATAGCAGTTGACTATCTTCTTTGAAAATGAAATAACTATATATACATATGTACACATGTACTTGGCAAATAAATAATAATTGCATATAAACATTGTGAACACTTAGTGTATACAAATACAAATATTACAAGGCAATTGCCAGGGCTGAAATAATAACTCGACTGCATAACGAGGAAAATAAATAACTAATCTAAACAATATTACTTCCATAAACAAACTGAGGTGGTGTTCTTTATAAACAAATTAATTCAGGGAATACCCAGTGTGGGGGAAATTATGGCATATTGGGCTTGTCCTGCAAAAGCTCAATGATGCGCTCTTGTTGGCTCCCAATGAACTTTAACTGGGAAGCAACTTCTCCCATCGCAGTCAACATTTTAGCTTCAAACCTCCTCCTATTTCTCTCCTTCAGCCTTCTCCGGCGCTCCTGTTCTGGCCGCACCAGTGTCTCCAGTGCACTGGTCCTCCTCTCCGAGTGGGCCTCATACAGGTCGTAGAAGGAGGGATGGGAGACTCGAGACCGGATTGATCTCGGCTGAGTGGTGGGCAGGGTCATGGAGGGACCAGGCTGGCCCTCAGAGGCACACGGCAGTGTGGTGGGCAGGGTCATGGAGGGACCAGGCTGGGCCTCAGAGGCACACGGCAGTGTGGTGGGCAGGGTCATGGAGGGACCAGGCTGGGCCTCAGAGGCACACGGCAGTGTGGTGGATGGTTGTGAGGCAGTGGGTAATAGAGGGGTGGAAACAAGAGTGCCTGGAGGTGCGCTCCCAACACCGCACCTCCCAAACAGGTTGTCCATTATCTGTGGAATTGCAGAATTGTTCAAATGGAAATGTTGCTTTTACCAACTAGATGTGCAAGAACAAACTTCTTACCCCATAATATTCCCACGTTATGTTCCCCTCTCCTGTTGAGGTACAACGGTCCTTGGCCCTTTTGTAGGTGGTCAAAAGGTTGTTGAGTTTTTTCCGGATTTTGTCTGAGGAGAAACTGTATCCCTCCTTGCTGAACTGCCGTTGTAGAATTTTGTAAAAACCGGGTTTGGAGTGATAGTACACCTGTTGGTGTGTTTTTGTCAGGTCCAAAAGCAGCAGTATGGTGTTGTGTGTGAAATCTGTTAAGACACAAGTGTTAGTAACTCAAACAAATAGCATTTGCTGTTTAGATCCTCATTTTAGTTACTGTACCTTGTGTTGCCTCAAGGTGTTCTGACCGGCTGGAGGGGGATGCCAGGTGAGGAGTGCCAGCTTGGGATCTAGCAGGCCTTACAGGAGCAGGCCTTACAGGAGCAGGCCTTTCATCAGGAGCAGGCCTTTCGTCAGGAGCAGGTCTTTCATCAGGAGCAGGCCTTTCGTCACGAGCAGGTCTTTCATCAGGAGCAGGCCTTTCGTCAGGAGCAGGTCTTACATCAGGAGCAGGCCTTTCAGGAGCAGGCCTAGCATCTGAAGACAGATCTAAAGGGACTGTGATTGAGAGAAAATTAAATATTTGTTTACAATAAACATGAATATGTCATTTGTTTGATTTGCATTAAAAGACAATACCATTTTTGATTTAAATGATAGATTACCTTGTGCATTTGTTGCAGCCCTTGCTTGCTGCATAAGTGCAGCTGCTAAACTGTTATCTGAAAAATAATTTACATCATTTAAAATCATATCCAGATTGTTGGAATGCAATTTAGTTGTTTACTCACCATTTTGTAGTCTTTGGGAAATGTCTTGTGAGACTCTTACAGTGATGTCTCCCTGTTCGTCACACAGTGTAAGCACCACAAATTCCATTTTACCCGTTGTAGACAAAGGTGATCTCCATTGCTTTATATAGGTTTGTTAATTCAGTCATGATGATGAACCACACCAGTGACTGGGTTCCATAATTAGAAATGCTCCTCCCTCTTAATGTTTGCAAAACTGATAGGTGGACAGGCTACAAATGATCAGTCCCTCCAGATCCGCACACATGAAGCTTAATGAGCATGAATTGAACAGACCTGCTGCTGTGTTAATTCTTTAGCTGCCACTTTAAGCTTTATGATGTGTACAACATGGATGTAATTTGATTTAATCTTGCCATTTTAAATGATGTATTCAATAAATAAGGTTAAACCAAATCATTACATTACAATAGATTTTATTTTAATGATTTGGTTTAACTTAAAGAGAAACTTTATTGTTATTGCACATATTACAGGTACTGAGACAACGAAATGCAGTTTAGCTTCTAACCAGGTGCAACAAGCAGTGAAGTGGAAAGTAATGTACACAATCTACAGAATAACATATAGAATGAATTGAATGATGAATAAACAGTGGGGTATGAATACACTAGATATCAGCCTGTGAGCAGTATTACCAGTGTGTATGAATATGCTAAGATATATAAAGTATGAAAACGGTAAGCAGTGCAAGTATAGTATAAATATATAGATATTAATTTCATGATGATAAACATTGTGGAACAATGATGAAAAATGGGAATGGATGTGGCGACGTAAAACTGACACAAAACAACAACAAACTTTTGCCAGCCAATTGGAGAGTTTCATCAGCAGCACGTGGTAAAAACCACCAATGAGCGCTCAGCTCGAGATACCAGCGAGCCGTTTCCCATCAAGCATTTCGCTTCCGCAGCCCGTGGAGAGCAACTGCGCCAACTCGCCTCGCCTCGCTCTCAAGGCTGCGGGCGTCTTTGTCCCGCGAAATTTCAAAGTCTCATGTGGGCGGGCCTCCAGAGCAAGTCGGACAAAATGACTAACCATCATGCAACGCACTAGCAAGACGTTGATCGCAACTGCGCAGGTCTGCGCAGGTCTTGCTTGTCTCAAACAAGCCTATTCACTACTGAACATCTCACACACACACAACTGAAAATTAACCTCACACACACACTATTGAAATCTTCTTACATTCACTACTGAACACCTCACACACACACACACACACTCCGCAAAACATTTTACTGAAAGATTCCCAGTAGGGAATGTGCATGTGTTTCACCTATGTTGGCAGTTAGCACTGAGCTTCAGTCTGCAATGTTCAAAACAACAGATAAAGCCAGAAATCTAGGTGTAGTCATGGACTCTGACCTGAGCTTCAACAGTCACATTAAAACAGTTACTAAATCAGCCTACTATCACCTAAAGAATATATCTAGGATTAAAAGACTAATGTCACAGCAGGATTTGGAAAAACTTGTCCATGCTTTTATCTTCAGTAGACTCGACTACTGCAATGGTGTCTTCACAGGTCTCACTAAAAAATCTATTAGGAAGCTGCAGCTGATTCAGAACGCCGCTGCTCGAGTCCTCACTAACACTAAGAAAGTGGATCACATCACTCCTGTTCTGAAGTCTTTACACTGGCTTCCTGTGTGTCAAAGAATATATTTCAAAAATACTGCTGCTGGTTTATAAAGCACTGAATGGTTTAGGCCCAAAATACATTTCTGACCTCCTGCTAAATTATGAACCATCCAGATCTCTCAGGTCTTCAGGGACTGGTCAGCTTTCTGTCCCCAGAGTCAGAACTAAACATGGTAAAGCAGCGTTCAGTTATTATGCTCCAAATATCTGGAACAAACTCCCAGAAACCTGCAGGTCCGCTGCAACTCTGACTACTTTTAAATCCAGGCTGAAGACTTTTCTTTTTGTCGCTGCTTTTAATTGAACTATTCATATCTTAGACTGCACTGTAACTTTTATCCATGTACTTTTTTCTTTTAATGTTTATTTTATTAGCTTTTCTTTTTAATGACTGATTTTAAATGCCATTTTCTTAATCTCTTTCATTTATTGTAAAGCACTTTGAATTGCCTTGTGTTGAAGAGTGCTATATAAATAAACTTGCCTTGCCTTGCCTTGCCTTGCCTTGCCTTGCCTGCCTTGCCTTGCCTTGCCTTGCCTTGCCTTGCCTTGCCTTGCCTTGCCTTGCCTTGCCTTGCCTTGCCTTGCCTTGCCTTGCCTTGCCTTGCCTTGCCTTGCCTTGCCTTGCCTTGCCTTGCCTTGCCTTGCCTTGCCTTGCCTTGCCTTGCCTTGCCTTGCCTTGCCTTGCCTTGCCTTGCCTTGCCTTGCCTTGCCTTGCTTGCCTTGCCTTGCCTTGCCTTGCCTTGCCTTGCCTTGCCTTGCCTATGTGTGTGAGGGGGATTCTTGCTGTAACGGAAGTCATTGTAATGAAACGGAAGTAACAAAGAACAATGCTGCAGTGATACAGTAGGTGGCGATAATTCTCGTCTACTCTGTTTGGAAATCGCCATTAAAGAAGAAGAATGCAACAGAATGTCCAATTCAGCATGGATTTATAGAGAAACAGCACCACAGCCGTAGGCTGGACCCTGAACCGAGCAGTCTACAAACTGAGACGGTCTGAGACGGTCTGTTCTTCTTATTTACATCATCTGGCGCAGCTCGTGAGGTGGCCTAGCAACCCGCTAGCAACATGCACAGCTGCAATAAGCTAACAAGCTAATTAAACCGAAATCGAGCCAGAACCTTTTCTTTTTTGTTTTACCATTTATTGAAGTGATTGACATTTCAGGCTGAGAGGACAATGGCCAGTTAAATATGGTTGATTAAGCTTAAGCATATCCCTTTTACAGTGTTTTATTTAGTTAATTAAGGTGTATTGTAAAATGTCTTGTTTCAGTATTGGTTTATACTTAGCTTCAGCCTCTCGTGTCATATCTGTTTCCAAAAAAACGACTTGTCAATAGTCCAAATGCCAAACTCAAGGCTTATTCTGCAATCCACTAACTTCACAGAGATTATGTCCAATTCTTATCTAAAGTGTATTGTGCTTTTCCTTAAACACACATTGCCAAACAATCTCTCAATAAGATTTCCATCAAAATAAGACACACAAACTGTAGCTTTTACCAGTTAACCTCTGCATAGATACGGGCTATCTGAGAACAATAGTCAACTACAAACATTGACATTAGTTCAAAGACCACTGTTTTAGTCAAAATTAGATTAAGTACCTGATAAGAGATTGATTTATGACCCCCATAAACCTTAGTCCCACCTCCCTTTGATGTGGCACCTGTCACTCTGACATCTCTGACCTTTGACCCTCTTATCTTTTATGACTTGTTTGTTTATTGTTTTATTGCCCCCTCATAAAGGATGTTGCTCAATAGTGGGGTGATAAGACTTTATTGCCCCTTTGATGTGAAACCTGTCATAGTGTCCTTAGTAGGTCATTATAGTCAACGATGAAACCATTATAGTCAATGATGATAGTATGACTTGTTTAGCTGTTTATTGTTTTATTGCCCTCCTCATAAAGGACGTTGCTCAATAGGGGGTGATGAGACTATTGCCCCTTTGATGTGACACCTGTTGTAGTATCCCCCTAGTAAGCCATTATAGTCAATGATGATAGTATGACTTCTTTTGGTCACCTGTTGTGGTTGTAATCATAGATATATATATAAACACTAGATGGCTCATGGGAGATTTTCCAGCGTAGCTGACCGGCCGCCATCTTGCTACAGTCAACAGTTACTCTGATTCGCGTTATGGTAGCTGTTGTAAGGTGAGTGATCTGCACAAAAATACTCTTAACTCGCTGAAATCTTGACTGATTTACAAACGGTTTGGTTTATTATAAACATTATTAGCATGGCTATGATACAGGATGCTTGGACATGTTGAAATTGCAGCTTTTCTTTGTGTATGTGGTTGTATTTATTAGCTGGCTAATAACAAGAGGCTATGAGTGAGACCTAGTATTACAAAGTTGACCCAGCAACTTTACACCAGTGGGAGAGGCAGAACTGCTCTTTCTTTTCAACATACCTTAAGTTACACATGATTTCTTCCAAGTGGTTTGGCTTGTTAAAAACATCTTGCATTATGATACAGGAATTTGCTGGCTTTGTGTTTACAGAAGTACCTGACTATGCCGGACTTTTGTGCAGCCTACAGATGCTCCAATCGCTGCTGTCTGCAAACAAGAACCCGTGGGATCACCACATATGTTTATGTTTGCTCAGTCTAATAAACCCATAACATGGTTGTGAAAGAATACCAAAGCTGAGGCTGGACGATGATTGATTGTTGGTGTGCCATGTGTCACCGTGTGTCTTATTGGTTTTGTGTTATACTGTATTTTATTGTGTGCAGCTGGTCCTTATCTCCAAGACACATTTAAAACAAATAACCTTGAAGCCCCATCTCTCCCCACCTGCTCCTGCTTCCTACATTCCCTCCACACCACACCAAGTTGTTCTTCTTAATAATAATAATACATTTATGTTGGGGGGCCGCCTTTAATAACACCCAAGGACACCTTACAGGGGCATAGGGGCAATATAGGGAACAATTTAAAACAGTGGATTTGTGATATAT